AATATGCGATTGTATAATTGTACATTCGAAATAAGGCATCACTCATCAAAAATTTCCTGCGATCGATCCGTATTCAGGTTCAACATTTGTTACATACCAAAAAGACCGCCGATCAATCGTATTCCTAAAGGTTTTTGTGTTGTATTCAATCGAGAATTTATATTCACTTGTATTCTTTTATGCTTTCAATTACTTACTTACAACTTGCTTGGAATATCATATTGTTTATTATTAATAATCTGTGATATACATACATACATATCGATGACCGACTTATATCATAATATCGTTTCACACGTAATTTTTCCGTTTTATTATCACTTCTCTCTTATTTGTAATTTGTGTAATTTTGTAATAACTCTTACTGCCGAAGTGTTGCGTTCTAATACTCTCATCTTATGAACAAATGTATACAGCGAATTCTAATATTCTCGAAATGAATGTATCGTTTCTTTTGTTTTTCTAATTTTTATATTTGAGTTGATTATAAAAATGATGACTGATGACAACTTGCAAAAATATCCAATACAGATGCGTTACCAAATTCATCAGTTGGAGTTTACGATGAGGATGGTTGTAGCAAGAGCATATGAACTGCTTAAGATTCATTAGAGATGATTAAGCGAGGTTGCTTTCTAGCAATTGTATATGAACGCTGTTGTGAGTAAATATATTTGTTTCAGGTGCCTGCCTACTAGTAGTGATGTATTGAGTCATCGTTTTCAGTGCAAACTTATTTTGCTGCAACCAACGATCTCGTATCGTTTATCATTGTGTTTTTGATTGGCTCAAAAAACAACTGAATCGTTTCGATCGAAAACAATTAAACGATCATCCTCATTGCTTTTGTTTGTTACGGTTTAAAACAAATTCTTTCGAGTTTCTTCAAGCTATCAGCTCATTTAATGATAACAATCACTATTGAGGAAAATTACTGATTCTAGTAGCTCAGATTCAGGGCTAAGGTCTTTGAATATTTATATAATCTTGATTGGTTCCATGAAACAACCGTGAAACATTGACGCCTTTATAAGATGTTTATTTGGAAGGTGTTTAATGTTGTGTTTTAACGATACAAGGCGATCAAACTGCTTCTTTTATACATCGATGGATCTGAATTTGAACGCATCACATAGCTGGTCACCAGCTAAAAAGTTACTACTGACAGTTTTCCAACTCAAATACACATAAATTTTTGATTCAGTCAACTTTCACCAGCTAGATTTATTTCAAATGGTTGAATTGCATTCGTCGCCAGTAACAAATCCTCCCCTATCACACCAGAATGAAACTTTGAAGTCAATTACTACGGATGACAAGCAGAATCAGTAGTGTTCTCACAGTCAAACTGAATGGAGTTCACAATTATAACATCGCTAATCATTCGAATAGTACAATCGTTTCATAGTGCAATACTGAGGCTAAAACAATGCGCACGGAAACACGAGCATTGTGGCCAGCAACGTTACAAACGTTTGATAGCCTGGCCAATCCGGGTAATCCAGTACAATCGTTTCAGGTGTGAAATGATTCCTCGACAGAGATAATATTACTGTTGGTGGTGCAAATTGAGTTTGTGTTGTTATCACGCAATAAAACTTGCATTTCACTACACAACATCCGTTAGAAATTACTCATTTCCATGTAATGAGCTACCAGACGGTTTTTTTTTCGCGACTGATCAGATTCATTCAGCTCTGTGATGATTAAGAATACGTTCAGTGGACTTTCGACTAAACGATGATCATACAGTGAATGTGTGTAATTGATCAATTGATTAGATCGATCGATGTTATCTCCAAACTCGAAGTGCTTCAAAACGACAGCTGTACCTATCACGAATACACAAAGCTGAAGAAGCAATTCCAGTGATAATACACTTCCCTCTCACACTTATTCATAACACACATCGGCTTGTGCACAATTCATCAGCACAAATGAAAACTTTTATCACAATTCGACGATGTAATCGGTGTTCATGTTGGTCCGTACTCATTTTCGCAACAAAAAGTTCTCATCAGCATTGTGCTAACTGCTATGAAGTGGCCGTAGGATGAAGAAACTCGCTCGAGTTTCGAACCACGAACTCATTGCCCAGCTCATTGATAGCAAAAGAAAGTCGATCAGCCAGTGTAGATCAGTTAATTTGTGTTCAGAAACGAATGCTACTGGGGTACAACTGCTGAAGTGGTTCCAAATGAGTTACCAAAATGTAATGGGAAATGAACATGATAAAAAAAACAATTCAGCCCAGTTTTCCAAAGTTTTCCATGTTGCATTACATAATAGGAAACCAATTATGCAATGAATTAACACACATTCAGTTGTGCAGTGAGTTGCGATTCAAAAGCGATACCACAATCAAAAAATCTTCGAAAATACAACGCATCTGCAAAACATATGTGCAAATAACCATGAATCGCATCCTCCTACTTGGAGTAATCCGTATTATTAATGTTAGTTGCGGGGACCGTGTGATGAGAACAACCTTGGTTGTTTGTAACAATGAAAGTTTGTAGGCAATGTGAATTTGTTGATTTGTTTGTTGAGCATCATCATTTGCCTATGAACATAAAATGATTTTGATGAAGCTTTGAGTGGCTGATCGTCCAAAAGAGAAAAAACTTGGGAGTTGAATAGCTTATGCAGAATCTTTATTTCGTACTCCTTGCTTCTTGGTAATCCTTCTTCACGGTAGCTTTGTTTTACTGCTGATTATTGATCTAGATGGATTTCCCACAATGGGTATCTGAGTTGTATCCAATAAATGTAGGTATTCTCTTCAACATGATCATCTAGAATCACTTTCAAAGTCTTAACTATTAAAATTAATACTCTGAAGATGAGCTCTTATTAGGGATACAATCTGAAACCTAATTTCAATATCGATCATTTGTACTCAAAATTTTTGTGAGAAATCTTTGGCGAAGTTTTTTCTCATCCGATCAGACGGATTGCTAACTAGCAATGAATAAATAAATTGAACGATAGGTTCTGGCTTCTAGAGATAAACGAGAAGAAATGAAGTTTTAAGCATTGCTTTGGGCTGTTGAGGGAGGAGTGGCCTAGTGAAGTTGTGAAAAGAAGTGGATAATATAGCACTGTAAGCGTAGAGCTTAAACCATTCAAAAGGTCGGTTGTTGCAGCAATAGGAGTAGGAAATTTATGTTGAAGTAAAGTTGAAAGTTGCTGTAAATCCAATGGTGCGTCTGTCGAAGCATTTGTTTCATTGCGATCGCTTCATCTGTTTTATGAAGCGAAACGGATAGATAAAGGTATCTATCCTCTAGTCCTATAGGATATCTCAACTGTTGCTTAGCACTCATCCCAAACATATGTCATGAGGCAGTGGCAAGGCCAAGTAACAACGGCAAGTTATCGTTACAAAACGGCACTGATAGTGTTCGTCCATTTCCTCCAGCCTTGTTTCACCGGTCACGTCATCATTTCAGTCTCAGCCTGAAGCAAACCAATGCTGGCCAGTGAGTTATGCGACTTATTGGGAATATTCACTTCACCAACAGCAACAACTTAATGCAGGAAGAGTGCCCCCAAAATGAATCGCAATCGTAATCATGCCATTTGTCCATTTTGCAAGATTGAGTGCACGACCAAAACATTGATGAATTTCTTCAACCGAACTCACAATCGGTTTATCAGTATTTCAATTCGACAACAACTGTTTCAATTGCCTCGGCAACGTTCAACTGTTGCTTATTGTCTTATCATATCATTTACCTGTGATATTACTGTATTTTACCATCTTGATTCACTTTATTTCAGCTTTATGTACATATCGTAGTTGAATTTCCAGCAACAAAAGAAAGTAATTTTCATTGTTTATTTGGATTTGCTAGACCGACTGTACACGCTCAATTTGATGTATAATTCTGAAAGCTTTAGGTCCTTTAAATGATATTTAGAATCGCATTCGACGGTTTAAATTGCCATTTCATTAATGAAGCATTTCATTTATTTCAACAAGAAAGCGTTTTTTCGTTGTGTCGATGAAAAGAATTGCTCTGAATTCATGACTACCATTTGTTGCCATCGAAATTTCCAACCAATTGGAATTTTCCATCACATTATTGAAAATTGATCTTAAATTATATCGGAAGCTATAATTTCGATCAATGAATATACTCTGACGGTGATTTGCATAATAGATCGATTATGATATATCAGTGCAATTTGTGTGTTTATATTATATTTCGTTAATTTCGACTCTGTTATGCCCATAGTGTATGTACGGAGATTAGTTTTGCATATTCTTTCTGCTAGTTGATAGAACGATATTGTATTTGAGGCACTGCTGATCCGTATCAACAATTGACCCTCATACGGCTATGCAATCAATAAATTATCACTTCTATTTCTTTGCCGCATAGCCGTTGCGACAGTTCTTATCATTTGAGCCATATAATCCGTTATTCTTAATGATATCCCATAAAAGTGAGAAAATTAAGCTGCTCGAAGTCAGGATATTCAACGCTATACAAAACTAACGATTTGTTGCTTACTCTTAACACATTCGCGTGAATGTGTAATTTTCTGGCGTGAGCATTCGTGAATATTCATATCCACAGCGTTTATGAATGCCTTAGAGATAGGCTGATTCGGTCATGAGTTGTGATTTTCTTCTGGCGTGAGCGCATGTACAATTAATCGAAAAGATCAACTGTATGTGATCCGCGTCATTGCACTGATCATTCAATTCTGATTCATGTTCACAACGTTTACGACTGTATTCAGAAGCGTCAATGATGTAATTTTAAAACGATCTATTTATTCAGAATCTAGGAGTTTGAACCAAGGTCGTTGTTCTAGGCACAATAACGGTCAGGGAGACACGCACAACGACAAGAACAAAGTGATCTCCAGAGGCGAGAGGTGTGTGCATCTGCAGAGCCTCCTCAGGTGTCGTTACTAAGGAAACGTGCAAAATATTCGACTACAATAGATAACTGAACAGAAGAGGACATCCAACTGCACAAGCAGCCATGCTATTGGGGACTAAGAGTCCTCTTTTAGCGTCCTTTAGTATATTTTTGCTATTTTTCGACGAGCAAATCAGATTGAGTGGTTTTGTTGATGCAGCCGCTTGTAAAGGATGCGTACCACCGTGTATATGCCCTGGACAAAAGGGTGAAAAGGTTTGTATTTAACCATCTCTATCGGTTTCTTTGCCTAATNTTGATTTAAACCTAGTCATTCATGTTCTTTCAGTTTCAGTGCATCATTTCAAATAACTTCACCAGATGAGATTGCGTAAATTTGAAAATTTCTCATTCCAGCACATATATATTGGCCATATGCTGACTTGTTTGTGAATACGAGTTAGTCGGACAATGAATTGTTCAGACATCTATTGAACTTCACCACTTTCAATTAATCACCCTTTCAATAAGTATTCCTCTATCATTGATATCTACCCTACCTATTAGCAATCAGAAATACAGTATGATTCATTTTTGTATTACACTAGATCAACTCGCCAACTCAATTCTTTCTCAATGAATGTTTTTTTCTGCGTAACCAAGTAATGAAGATTGAATCGAACACTCGTAAGTAATTAGTAAAAAGTTTGTCTAATAGGTGCTATTAATTAGCAACAATAGTTACTGCAAGAGATGGGCGATCATCAGATTGCTTTATGCTACATCAGTGAAGAACGAGAGAAAAAGTGTGGGATGGTAGGCAAGGTGATCGAGTTTATATTAACAACTAAACTATATCTCTGAGCAATTCTTTAGCTAATATCTTGAACTTTTGCATCTCATATAGCATTCGATCGATACAATCGAACATCTTAAATTGTTTCTTATGAATGGATGTCCATCAATAGAGCAGACCTTTAAGCAAAATTGGTTGCTCACTGAAAGAATATCTGATCATCTTCATCACTAGTGCCGTTAGCATTAGCCTACTATCACCAATGAGAAACAGAACGGTCCGGTTCATATTAAGGCGTCAAGGGGTCAGCTGAGTCATAAATTATACAGTGAACAAATCTCGAATTGTTACGTTCAGTATTTCACTATTAACTAATGCACATACAATCTGATCATGAATAAAAGTCAGTGAGTCACCGTAATGACTGAAAAAAAATGGATCAAAACCAAACAACATGTCAAGCTTTCATCGCATTTTCCGTTTATTCAGTAAAGCAATCGGAACAGGTTCTTCTTAGTAATCACTTCGAGGTTATTATTGATATCGTTGTTCATTTGAAGTTTATTTGAACATTTCCGGGCAGCGGCAATGCTTCGTGGGGATTGATGGAATCTATTATCCATTTCTATTTCTATTACCTATTGGATTTCACTTCAAAGAGCAGCGCCATAGATTTATCCCAAGTGCATGAGCTTATTGGCTATCCATTGAAATATTTTCAAAGTGAACGTTCTGCGATGGGGATGTGATGCTCCTTATCTAATCCATTTACAGTGAATCATCGTACAATAATTATTTCAGGGTGTTCAAGGATTCCAAGGCCCGCGTGGTCATCCAGGACCCCCAGGTCTTGACGGACCAGAAGGCCCTCTAGGAGCGCCAGGTCTTCGAGGTTCAGAAGGTGATTTCGGTGATCCTGGAGTCAAAGGCATTCGGGCAAGTTTCGATCAATCTTAGTGCAGTGTATCTTTCAAATTCATTTGGAATACTTCATTTATCTGACTACTCTCGGACAGATTCACCGAGTATTTCCCTAATTTTACAATGCTGTTTTGATTTCAGGGTGATCGCGGATTTCCAGGTGCACCAGGCAATGTGGGTTTACCGGGTCTTGATGGATTACCTGGAATGAAGGGTGAAATGGGTATTCCTGGATGTAACGGAACAGATGTTCGTTCTGCCTGTTGTTGTTTATTTGATTTCTTCGATAGAACGCTGAATTCAGTTTAATGTTCGCTTCTCTTTACAGCTTTCTTTCAGCAACTTCAACATGGAGAGTTTGTTAAATAACGTTTGCATTCACATATCCTTCGTAGTAACCTCTAGAGAAATCGTTATTGTTGCTGTCTTTCGGAATGACAATTTTGCGTTCATTAACTTGACTTAACCTGCAATTCACATCTGGATAGGCGCAATCGTTTGTAACTTGTTTAAAAAACAACATAATTTTATGACTGAACTTCGAGTCTGCATTGATTCTGTTTAAGTTTTGAAGCAACAATCAACATATTTGCTAACTCCAGCATTGTTTAATAGGATCAAGTATTGATCTTGTTAAGTAGTGTCGGAGTCAGCAAATGCAGAGCAAGTGCAATGTTTCCGGTGTTGGATAAATTCAGCTGCACACCCACAAACAGCTGACTCTTTGAAATTGCTGTGGTTTCATTAGCGAGGCAAAGAGGGAAAAGCAACGACGGAATAGATTGATAATTAGTTCTAAACAGTGTGAGGAAAACGAGTTTATCTGTCTGTCGCTTGAGAATTCATATATCTGCCTAGTCATCTACCTCAGCACTGCACTGAAAATAGCACTAATAATGCGTTTATCTATATACATATTGGATCTCTGTTAATGATCGCAATGAACAAAACTATTACATTGTTGTGAACGAATCGATGCAACTAACAGCAAGAGATAATATCGATTTGATCATGGAATGAACTCATCGAAACCACTCTTGAATAGAGAAAGGGATCTTTATCATGCCTCATTTCAATGGAGAATGTTCGTTTTAAACGAAAAAAATTATCTCATGAACTGAAATGTTCTGAGGTGTTAGCAGTGGTCAACGAGATAATGGCCAGTGCCTTGAAAAGCAACATCGCAAGCTTTCCACACTGTATTATTTCAAAATCAAGGAATATGAAACCTTGAGATAATCAACATGAAATATAAAGTAATATGTTTGGGAAACACTGAACTCGTTTGTTCGCTCATGAAGCTGGTGGAATGAGAAGAGCAATTCAAATGTGCGTTAAGATGTACTCAGATGATGCTGATGTTTCAGGGTATGCCGGGTATTCCAGGTTTAGCCGGTCCGCCAGGTCCACCAGGACCATCTGGATCACAAGGTAATCGTGGAATGCAAGGACCACCTGGTGAGGGCGGTGTTAATTCGGCCGGCAGAAAAGGTGAACCTGGAGAGCCTGGTAGAGCAGGTACCTCGGGTGCACGCGGCTTGGATGGCATCCCAGGTATTAAGGGATCTAAGGGTGATGTTGGACCACTGGTTAGTTCCACTATGATACCTTCGGAAGAATAGTGTGGTTCACAAGCGAATTACTTATTACTATGAAAATATTTTTAAATATGCCATTCATTATTGACAAAAGTTCAATTTTCAGTACTGATCGTGAGTTTTGCAAAATACGTATTCTTAAACGATTTGTTTAAGGGACCTCCTGGTTTTCCTGGCCCTAGTGGAGCGAAAGGTCGAATGGGTATTCGCACACCTGGCAGGAAAGGTGAGAAAGGTCTTGCAGGACCGCCTGGACCCGCTGGACCACCAGGTAATTTTGCGGGAGCATCTGCACCAGAAGAAACGGAAGTCATTCAAGGACCAGCTGGACCTCCAGGTACGTTGTATGCATTGCTGGATTTCCACTATTTCGACCCTTACGAATCCAGAAGATTTCCTTGAAGAATTCATTAGTTAAACGAAATACAAACTATATGTGCTCTTCTGGCAATTGTATTTAAATCTGATCACTGCTTGAAGAGCTCCTATGTGCAATATTTCCTTAAATTTAATCTTCTGACCAACTATTCGATGGGTTTGACTATGGGCGAGGTATTAAAAAGCATCATTTTAAAGGATTAAAAGGTGAAAAAGGACGCGACGGACCGGTTGGACCACCAGGAGCACAGGGCCTTGATGGTCCACCAGGTTATATGGGCCTTAAAGGCGAAAAAGGTGATCCTGGAGATGTAGGACCAAGGGTACGTAATGCTTTCTGGGTATGAGCGAGCATAGATCGCACAGTGAAGCGAAAGTTTAAATTTAACATCGTTGAGTCAACTGATGTTGAATTTTGCCTGCAGTCGAGACTATTATCGAAATATTCGTATTAATTTGAGCATATCTCCATATCACAGCGGTCGCATAATTACAAATCTCACTGCTCATTCATACTGTGTTTAAAACTTTGCGTTAGTGCTTTAAATTTTCAGGGTAAACGTGGTAAAGATGGAGCAGTGGGATTGAGTGGAGCAAAAGGTGACATCGGTACACGAGGTGTACCTGGCCTTGATGGCTATGCGGGTCAGAAAGGTGCCGCTGGTGAATTGGGTTACTCGGGAAGGCCTGGTTTAGAAGGTGATCCAGGACCACCTGGAGAATACGGTAGTGGCCATGGAGCGCCTGGACCACGAGGCCCTCAAGGAATAGATGGACCACGTGGACCGAAGGGAGTAGCCGGTAATAATTTCGCTATTCTTACTTTCATTCTGTATATCAAAACCAATGAAAATTCGACGCTATTAATTATCAGAATCAAGATTTTCCACAAAATGAAACGCTAGTTCATTACGTTCGAGTACTTTTTTGAACTTTTTAATGGTGAGCACACTTGAAATTTCACTATTATGCAACTCTTCTTCATAAGATGAATGCTGAAATTTAATTGCCTGCAGGAAAATCTGGTGGCATGGGCCCAGTAGGTCCAAGAGGTCATGTCGGTGCACCTGGCCTCCCAGGATCTCCAGGTGAGCAGGGATCACCAGGTTTCACTGAGAAGGGAGATCGTGGAGATGACGGCAATCCAGGATACGCGGGTGAAGCCGGACCTACTGGCCCGGCAGGACCCTGTGGAAAGCGTGGCGAACAAGGTCTACCCGGATTTGACATCCAAGGTCCGCCAGGAAATGATGGAAGACCGGGTAGAGATGGCTACCCAGGTGTTCCTGGAGATATTGGTGATCCTGGTATGGCAGGTTTGAAGGGTTTCCCAGGAACTGGCGTCAAGAAAGTAGGTCCTCCTGGCCAAATGGGTTTGATTGGACCTGCGGGTGAAAATGGTCGAATTGGTCTCGATGGCAGACCTGGTCCACCTGGTTTCCCTGGTCAGAGAGGTGAAGATTGTGGCTACTGTCCAAATGGTGTGCCGGGAGTGAAAGGTGAAGCTGGAGTACCTGGCCCTGACGGATATCCTGGACCTCCGGGACCGAACGGGAACATGGGCGTACGTGGTGCGAAGGGCATGATGGGTAAACCTGGCCTGCCTGGAACCGATGGCATAATGGTCAGTTTTCTGTTAGATTTTCATGTTCAATTGTCCACTGTTTTTCAATTTGCCGAACAAACCCTATGCAGACTGCAATTAATTCTCCACAATTCTCTCATTTTTAGGGTTCTGCTGGACTTCCTGGGTTGCCTGGATACCCAGGATTGAAAGGTGAAGCTGGTGAAATCATTGGACCAATGGAAAATCCTCGAGGATACTCGGGTTTGAAGGGCGAACGCGGAGAACCAGGTTAATATCCTCACATCGAGTACATGGTCATCACTGAAGTGGTCAAATACTCAAACAAATTAATGATATCAAAATTACGTTTGAGTGCGAGAATTAAACATGATCCGATAATTATAATGATATTTTGAGTACTGCTGAAGGAGTTATACTTTTTTTTCTAGCTGCCGACTTTTAAAACATTCAGAATGAAAATAAACTTCGGGGCATAAACGTCATATCAACTCATTTATGGCTTGAATATCACGTGATCATGGCATCTACTGTTACGCTTTGTTTGAATGGCGGCAGGCTGTATGATCGAATGTTGACCATTTTGAATACTTGCATTCCTTATGATCGATGAATACTTGCACCATGAATCATGACAAGATCAAATAAAAGCAAGCACTGCATGAAAACACACCTAATTTATTTCAGGAGGAGTCGGATTACCGGGATTACCTGGTCCCGATGGAAAAGAAGGTCTCCGTGGACCACCTGGATTGTCGGGATTCCCGGGAGAAAAGGGTTTACCAGGTCTTGACGGAAAGCGAGGTCGAGATGGCCTGGTGAGCTTATAATTTTGAGTTGAAGATATCAACGTTGAAGATATCTGTGGAAACAGTCATTCAGAAATGAATGACTGGTTGTTTGGTGTCGTTCATATAGAAGCATGATCGCGGCAAGTAGGGTTGAAACTGTGAATCGATCGTTGATGCTTGATCATGTTTCTGTTTATAATCATGCAACAACTGATCATTGCCTCTTACTGATCTTTTGAATTTTCTTTTTTAGATTGGACGTCCAGGAATGCCGGGTCCACCGGGAGACTCATTCCCCGGCCCACCTGGACCTTCAGGAGGCAAAGGAGAACATGGAGAAGATGGACTGCCTGGATTACCAGGTCCTCAGGGTCCTCAAGGACCAGTTTTCAGTGGCCTCATCAAGCAAATACCTGGCCGAGATGGTTATGATGGAGCTCCAGGCTTGCCCGGTCTGCAAGGAGCGAATGGGTTAGATGGACTTCCAGGATTACCAGGTATTGATGGAATGCCTGGCCTCAAAGGAGAGCGAGGTGCAGATGGTTTGGCGGGTGTACCTGGAATGGATGGGTCACCCGGTTTACCGGGAATGCCTGGAGAGGATGGTTTCCCTGGACTTGAAGGCTTACGAGGTGAAGTGGGAGACGTGGGTGCATCTGGTTTGCCAGGTCTTCCGGGTCTCACTGGTGAGCCTGGATTCGGCATGCCTGGAATTGCGGGACTACCGGGACAACAAGGTGAAGACGGTTTGCCTGGATTAGCTGGTGCAGAGGGAATTCCCGGTCGACAAGGTGCACGAGGGATTCCAGGACTCAAAGGCCAACCAGGTTAAGGCAAATTGCAAATTAAGCTGTATATCTTTCTGCTATGAATCACTGCTACTTCATGATCATTTCTTCGCTGATTAAGAGATATGAGTTGACTCTCACTATCAGTGTTTAGTCACACATCATGATGATCAATCTTGNATTGATTGATTTCTTTCAGGCGAAGCAGGCTTTCCAGGCCTACCGGGAATTCCTGGGCTCAAGGGTGAAACCGGGTTACGTGGACTCGATGGAAAGGACGGGCGACAAGGACGACAGGGAGAACCAGGATTGCCGGGTATTCCAGGACTGAAAGGAGAGGCAGGCTCACCAGGACAAGATGGACTGCCAGGTCTTAAAGGTGAACGAGGGCTTGATGGCTTGCCTGGCCTTTCAGGGCCAACTGGTCCACCAGGACCGCCAGGCTTAGATGGTGAGGATGGAACAGTCGGTTTCCCTGGTCTTCGCGGTCAACCTGGTGAGAACGGTGCTCCAGGGCTCGATGGTTACCCGGGTGCACGAGGAGAGCCAGGTTTAGATGGATTCCCTGGTGAGCCTGGTGCTCAGGGTGAGCCAGGACTACCGGGACGGAATGGACTCGACGGATTGCCCGGATTGCAAGGAATGCCTGGTGATAGCGGTTTACCAGGTGCTCGTGGTCGTCCAGGAGAGCCAGGACGTAGTGCACATCACGGACTTCGTGGAGATCCCGGATTCCCAGGTCCTGTTGGTCCACCTGGTCTGCCAGGAATTGATGGTCTACCTGGCATGAAAGGTGCTAGAGGCGAACCTGGACATGGATTCCCCGGTCTTCCAGGCCAAAAGGGTGAATACGGGGAGGCTGGACTCGACGGACCAGACGGTATCGATGGATACATTGGTTTACCGGGAATGATTGGAATTCCAGGTTTGCAATGTTATGAAAAATACAGTTTTCCTCCTAAACCTTCAGATACAGGTTTACTCTGCCTAAATTAACAATATAATTTGGGTGAAACACATCATTTTCGGAGCTCTACCACAAGCGGAAGGAAAATTCTGAAATGATTCTGTTCGTGCTCTTGGAAACTTAGTTTGCCTTAGCATTTTTCTCACACGACTTATTATACTGATTAAATATAGCTTCCACTTTATAAAATTTATGGTTTTGAATTACTTCGTACCTATTCACATTTTATGAGTTCTTCTGCCACTTATCATTTTGGCAGATCTCCGTTACGAGGATGGCTGTTTCACGATTACTGAGACTGTTCCATTAAATGGATCACATAACTAAGAAATGTTCCGAGTTAATTCAAAGAATTTCAGGTCAAAAGGGTCAACCCGGAGAGCCTGGAAGAGGTGGAGAACGTGGTATGGATGGTCGACCAGGAATTCCAGGCATGAAAGGTGAACATGGTTTGGATGGTCTACCTGGACTACCTGGAATGCAAGGAGCGCCCGGATTTGATGGCCCTCAAGGTCCTAAAGGGCAGCGAGGTGCACCAGGTGACGGTGGTTTCAGTGGTAGAGGTGGTATGCCTGGTTTACCAGGAATCAAAGGAGAGCAAGGCTTATCAGGACTGCCAGGTATGCCAGGAGAAGCTGGCATGGTTGGAATGATTGTAAGTTAATCAATTTCAAACATTTGAATTGGCATGCTAGAAAGCAAGCCATAATGTCAAAATAGAACTCTTGAAACTGATGTGGTTTGATTTTCAACAGCCAAGCGCAGTATGACCAGTTCCTACAAACTTGATTAAGGGTGATGCTGGCATGCCGGGACTACCGGGAATGAAAGGTGAACCAGGTTGGCCAGGTAGAGCGGGAGTTGTTGGAGAAGTTGGAGAACCCGGTGTGCTCGGATTCCCAGGTGTACCCGGTCTTGACGGAATCCCTGGACAGCGTGGAGAACGTGGTGATGATGGCCTTCCAGGGTTGCCTGGCATGGATGGAATACGTAAGGATCATATCATGTTCAGATCACGATAAATAAAGTGAAGAGCATTCGAAACAATGAGTAGCGACAGTCTATGTGCGAAGACAATCGATATCAGTAATCAGATGCTGATTTGCTTTGAACAGAACATTCTTTGATGTGAAGTATGCAAGATTTGCGTGATTTCAGCCATCCAAGGTCCAGAAGGTGATGCTGGTTACCCAGGAAGAGATGGCAAAGATGGTTTACCGGGATTGCCAGGCTTGCGAGGTGAAGATGGTTTGCCTGGTCTTCCTGGACTGCCGGGCGAGCGTGGAGCACCTGGTCTGCCAGGATTTCCGGGCGAGCGAGGCCTTCGCGGACTTGATGGAAAACGAGGTTTATCACTATCCTCATCTTTGATACTTTTCTCTGCATAACTCCTTCGCAACGTCGCAGCTGTGTGTGATCTCTAAGAAAAAGCGAAAAAGAGGATTCCATTATGTTTTGAAGGTGTTCATTTCTTTTCTAGTAAGCGAAATTGAACATGGAAACCTCTTATATCCAAACCTGATAAAAACACTTTCATCGAATCACATTCCTAAACTATGAATTAGTTGCTAATGCTTATGTTATAAGCAGATAGCTTCCTCACTCATCTGCCCATGTCCTCTCAACTCCAATTGATTTTCTATTTGGTAGGAGCGCGATTGAATCTGATGATCTCATGATCGGTTGCAACAAACACTTTGATCTTTCATTCAGTTAAGCTTCATTTATTTCAGGTTCTGACGGGGCACCAGGTCTTCCGGGCGCACCTGGCTTGGATGGGTATCCTGGTGCACAAGGTGAACGAGGCGCTGAAGGTCTTCCTGGACTGCCAGGAATAGATGGACGGCCTGGTTATGTAGGTGAGCGCGGTGCAACTGGTTTACCAGGTGTGCCTGGCATGCGTGGTGAGGATGGACTACCAGGATTGCCTGGCTTGCCGGGTATGAAAGGTGCTCATGGAGACAGCGGACTACCGGGTATGCCTGGTCTTCCGGGTCTAATGGGCCCCCGTGGTCCACCGGGTTTACCTGGTCTGCCAGCTGTTTACAATCAGCAGTTGCATTCACCAAAGGGTGAACCTGGTGATATGGGACCACCGGGACCAAAGGGTTATCCTGGCGACACTGGAAATCCAGGTACGTACGACGCTCTTACTAGAAAATATTCTTATGCTTCCGATTAATTATTCCGTTATTGGGGTTTTCCGAATGAAACGAAATGATTGTGATCATTTAATGCTGTTTCTATTTAAGAAGGTGAGGTAACTTGATGAGTTTCAAAACTGATATCGCTTTCAGAATTTATCAGATTTCCTTGAAATCTAGACTGTTCATTTGTCCGGAACAGAGATCATTCATGTAAGTAATAACATTTACGCACTTGAATTTGCTCTCTAATGCCAAATTTTGCTAAATATGCAGGTCTGCAAGGTCCTCCTGGTCCAGCTGGTTTACCTGGTCGCGCCGGAGTACCGGGCAGTCCAGGTCTCCCAGGAATACCCGGAGTGAAGGGTCAAATGGGCGTGAATGGACCACCAGGTGTTGGCGGACGAGTTGGTCACCCTGGTCCACCTGGCCAAGCCGGTTATCAAGGACCAATTGGAGCACCAGCACCACCTCGCGGTTTCACGTTCACTCGTCACTCACAAACCACTCTATTACCGCAATGTCCTGCTGGCTCACAAATGCTCTGGACTGGCTATTCGTTGTTGTATGTGCAAGGAAATGGGCGAACAAGTGGACAAGATCTTGGTCAGACAACTAACATCATATGAATCTGATTGAAACCACGCAGTTTACTAACAGTTAGACGACCATAATATCGCATTGACAAATGTCTTGAAATCATTTCAGTTCTTTTCCAGTCTCAAATTCTCCGTATCAATCAAAACTAAGGAAACTAAAGATGTATTGATGATATTATTGTAGGTCAACCCGGTTCATGTCTATCGAAGTTCAGCACTATGCCATTTATGTTCTGCAATTTGAACAGTGTCTGTCACGTATCGAGCCGTAACGATTATTCATTCTGGTTGGCAACTGCAGAACCAATGACTCAAATGATGAATCCGGTTACTTATTTCTGTTTTCTTCCACTAATCCTCAAATTCAAAAATTAAGGGAAAGTTACTCTTACGAGAAGCTTATTGCACGCAGTGAGGTGATAAAATCTCGGAAACCATAAAGGAACTACTTAAAAATAGTGATCGAATTTGTGATCAGATATGATCACATTACATAAGTGTATCAATTGTTCATATCATACACTCAAATATTCATGCTGTGAATATGTTATCGGTATGCTATGTAACTCACTGAAACGCTCTCTAGGTGTCAGGCACAGCCATCCGTCCGTACATATCCAGATGCGCAGTTTGTGAGATTCCAACCCAGGTGATGGCTGTACATTCGCAAGACTCGTATGTTCCACAATGTCCACGTGGATGGTCAGCACTCTACTCAGGATATTCATTTGTTATGGTTTGTTTTTGTTCGTGTTCTCATTTGCTAGATGCTTCAATGAGATATTTCCGTCAGAATCGAGAAAAATTTTCAATCTTCTATTCATTTATCACTTTATTCAACAAGTGTTTCAATCTTTTTTGACAAAATTGGCTGAATCTTCTGAAATACTTACTCCGTAGGAGTCTGAATGACTGGAGGGAGATGGTTGACTTCAATGTATCAGTCAATTGTGAATGATTCAGCTGATCGGATTTGAGAAAAACTCAGTAGTTGCGAATATGCTAAGAAAGATTTTCAAATGATTACTTAACAGCGATAAGATGATTACAATTGTAGCATACGGCAGCTGGTGCTGAGGGTACAGGTCAAAGTTTGGAATCACCGGGAAGTTGCTTAGAGGAATTTAGAGCTGTACCGTTCATTGAGTGTCATGGAAGAGGAACATGCAATCACTATGCTACTAACCATGGATTCTGGCTTGCCATCGTCGAAAGGGTTTGATCTTCTGACGAATCTGTTTGACTCCGTTTGAAACTTGGATTGCGAAAATTTATGTTTTTCAGGATTTCGTTACATTGAAATTGTTGGAAAGCGGTACTTGATTCACTGATATTGTAACCACTACTTGACTACTTTTATTATTTCAGAACAAACAGTGGAGGAAGCCAATGTCACAAACACTGAAGGCTGGCGGTCTGAAAGATAGAGTTAGTCGATGTGCAGTATGTCTCAAGAATAAATGGTATGTTTACTGATACGAATAAATAATCGCTTTCGAAATTATTGAATAAGTTGTGAAAAAATATACAGCTTCATGAAAAGTTCCAGAACATTTCAACGGTATATAATCACAGAGAACTGATTATACATTAGGCCAGATAGAAATCTGAGTTGATCGATAATGGATCAAAATGAATTTCAGATTATTAATTTTTCTCTCATTGTTAATCAAATCCTAAAAACAGTCAAGTTAATGTTTCAGTAGCTATTTCATGTGCAGAAACGGTGAAATTCATCAAAAAACTTGAAACTTCAAAATCTGAACGGAGGCAAAATGTAACCAAAAATTTCAGAGTCAATAACTCGGTACATTTACCTGGAACAGATCAGTTGTAAATGAAGAATCAATACTGCTTACAACACGCTAGATGCACACCAAAATTGATTCGACTATTGCTTTCAGTACTCGAATTAACAGCTATAATAAATGTGTTTGAAACATTGCTACGATAAATGGACTGCCGTTTATTGCCCTCATTTTATTTGATATTTTCAGTTGAAATTTTGAAACTTAATAAATCATTGATATTTTGTATTTGGTTGATTTTTACGATCAATTCTACAAAAAGAGTATTGTTTTGTTGTTATATGTGCCAATCATGTTCTAATGCTGCCATAAATAAATCAATTTTATGTTCTTCTTTGAACATGTTCATTTCATCTGAAAACTCATATCGATTCACTTCACTATGACGCATCACTTATGATGAAACTTCAACCATGTCAGGTAATAGATACAAGCAAAATCATAACCCGCCTCAGGCTCACAACATCAACGGTATTGGTGCACCATTCGGTTTCGAGCAAAATTT